AAAAAACAAACTTTTGCTTTCGTAGCTTTTCCAGTAAACCCGCATGCTACAAAAATAGGGATAGCTTAGACCGTACCGTATGATAGCGACTGAAACTAGCCCCAAAGCGTTGTTCAGCGATTGCACCCATACATTCTGAGTAGATCACTTTCCTTTTAACGCTGAGCTGAGCTGAGCTGCTCTGTGTTGATGTAGAGCTTTTATTGTGAAGATTTATCCTAGCTCTAAATAGCCTGATAGCTAGCTATTGTTGCACTGCTGATTGCTGTGTCGAAGGCTTCTTGTTTATTAGGACTTGAACACACCGCTCTTAGCATTAGATTACAAGAAATGAGCACTGGGTAAGCTGTGTTGCTAGATCTCCTACTTTTGTTGACACTTTACTCTTTTCTCGTTTAGTGATTCCCATTTTAAATTTTTTAATCTTACTGTGCGGACACCATGTGAGTGTAGCTAGAACTTCGCTCATAATCTCTGGTCTGATGCGTGTTAATAAACTTAAATTAGCAATTAAGGATTCGAGGCATGTCGGTGCCCTGTGCTCTTGCACGAAGTACACGCCTCCTACTAGTGAATCAAGGGCTACGTTGCATTTCCAAGGGACGACCAGGATATGAGTGAGTCCAGTTCTATCTTTCGCTAATTGGAAGTACTGCAACTTTAAATCTAAGTAGTTTCATCACATAGTTTTCAGACTAGTTTTTAGCTTTAGTGAGTATTTATGAGAAGATGTGGTCTGTGTTATTTTGAAATAATCAATAAAACGATTTCAACTTTGTAAAATCACAAGGTTTAAGGTCTGGCGGTAGACGAAACGTGTCATCGTTTCAAGAGGCCTTCGCTAAAGCCTCGCTTGCTCGCTCTGATGCTCGTCCAACAGGGGAAACCGATGCTACTCCATTCAGTTTTCCGCCCGAATTTGATGTAGTCGTTGTTGGTGGCGGTATTGTTGGAAGTGCAACAGCTCGACAAATCCTGATGGAACATCCAAAATTAAGAGTATGTATGGTTGAAAAAGAGAGTAAATTAGGTAAGTAAAAACTAG